GAAAGGCGAGGCTCACTGAGCCATTTATCCCTCCGCCCTTCAATTAGCCCCACATGTGTTTATCAGCCAGGTTAGCACAATAAACTAACTACCTCAAGCAGCATTTACCCAAGGACTATGTTTAAAAGGATTAGAAACAAAGGAGAAATGGAAACAAGAAACAGAAGCTGGGATGGGTGATGTTACACTGAGGGGATTGCAATAAATGGGATTAAATAGAATATGTAAATTCGATGCTCTATTCTGTAAACTATCACAAGATTCACAATAAAAAGTTAAGGAGAAGTGGCTTTTAGGAACCAGCTGTTTTAAGGCTTCAGGTTCAAAAGAAAGCTAGAAATCAGGATTCCAAAAGAAATGATATAATCTCTCAATTCCAAAAGAAATGATATAATCTCTCAAATCTCTCAATTCTGAAAACAGTTATTAACAAAATGCTGAAAAGATTTTAAAATAGTGAGTGGGGTGTGTATTGTGTTGATCTACCCCCGATTTCTGTAGCTACTGTTTTGTTTCTGTAATTTATATGCAAATCTGTAGAAACAAAATTTCATGTTTGGAAAATAAATGCTCGGTGATTGTATGGGAACACACCAGGCTTCATGAATCAGGCAAACCAAAGGAATGTGATCCCCATGGCCAAGAACCTGATGGGAGTATACACCAAACCAGGGATCGTGTGATTTCTGGGAACTTGGTGTGCAATCATACTTGCTGAATTATGTAAGGCTAGCTGAATTATGTAATTAAGGCAGTTGTTTACTTAGATCAGCTCTTAAGGCCCAGTTGTCAAAAATCAAGTGAATGCATCAGAAAGCCTGGAAATCACAAAACCCAAACACTTCCAGAAAATTTAGTAAAGACAGTGCTTGTCCCTAAAGAATGAGAGTGTGCCTAGTCCAGTCTGGCATGATCTCAGGAGGGGCTCTTGTGCTCTGCCAGGGAGGGGTGAGTCTGGCCCCCAGTTCTGCTCCAAAAATACCCCATTCAGCTCCAAAAATACCTTTCAGCAGCACCCTGTTCAGCCCCCAAAATACCTTTCAGCTTGGCAGTGGTGGGGCAGTTGGGGCTGGGAGGGAGGG